TCCCTCTAAATGTAAATGTTAGATTTAAAAGGTTATGTACCAACATAAAAGTTATAAAGAAGTTGCCAAAAACCTTCAAATCTAAAATCTTAGGGAGTTTGTCTGCTATTATGCAAAGAAGATTGTGGATGCAAATATTAGTCATTAACATCACTTTCTGTGTTGAGTCAGCATCTATTTTTAGGTGTGGAGCACATAAAGACAACTCTTTGACACATAAAACATACAAAGACATCCATTTGACATCATTTCTGTTTGGGCTAAGGCTCAGGAAAAGAGGAAGACAATTGCTGAATGCATTGTATTCATGGGGGGGACCCCTCCATTTCCTTCCAAGACACATTTTAAGACATAATGCAAGAATGTACTGATCTGTTGATATTTAAATAAGTCAAGATGAAGCGCAAAATATTCAGGTTTGGATCCAGTGCTATTTCAGATGTGCTGCAAAGCAATTCTTCACGATCCACACTGAATACTTGCCATTAAAGCTTTATCCAGGAAGTATTTTTGTTATGTTAAATGTGTGTATTCTAAATGTATATGTTTTAAAAGTGCAGAAGGCTCTTTATGCACATATTGTAATTATAAATCTGATTCATAGATAGAAGAGCAGTTGAGAGAGTCTTGATTTAATAATTTTCCAACAGCATACATGCAGTTGGAACTCAACTAGGTTTTTTCTTGTTTGCTTGGTTATAATATTTTGTGGTCTGGTTCCGGGCTTACAGTGCAAGGGAACTTCTTGTGATGAATTGCAGATACGACAATGGGTGTCAGTGTACAGTTCCCTGAGCAGATGTTCATTTAGTCTAATTTCACCAGTACTTTACTGTTCATCCAGAACAGATCTTGCCAGCTCAGGATGAAAACACAAAGAGAAATAGCACAAAAGATCACTCCACAAATAACCTGATCTGTTTCAGACTCTTGGGGGGGGCTGGGTAGAAAAACATACTGGAACTTCGGAGTGCTATGTTGGATACAGTAAATCATCCATACACCCACAACCTATAGGGGTAAATTTACAAAGCCATGCGTGGGAAGTTGCATGTTAATCTACCTCTGAACAATAGTTATTTTGTGACTGCACTTGAAGAGCCCTTGCGTCTGTTCTTAGCCTCTTTAGCTCTTCTTTGTTCTTCCAGCCTTTCCTGGCTTTGTTGGTTTTGCAGAACAGGTAACGTCTGAACTTGAGGGTTCTTGCCTGTGAAAGAACAGAAAATAATCTGTCCGTTTAAAATGCAAGGGGTGGCTCTAGCTTACTAATACATCTTTCCTTTCCTTCACTCCCTAGGTGTCGTATGCCCGTCCGAGTTCAGCATCAATCAGAGATGCGAACTTGTATGTCAGCGGCCTTCCGAAAACAATGACCCAGAAAGAGTTAGAGCAGTTATTCTCACAATATGGGCGCATCATCACCTCACGGATTCTGGTTGATCAAGTCACAGGTTAAAAGAAAACTTTTCTTGGTAGATGCATGTTTTTCTGGAAATGGCAAAGCTGTAAACACCTGTTGGCAGTTGGGTTTCAAGACAATGTGACTTTTAGTGTAAAATGCAGTATCTGGTTCTTCGAGTGTTGTAACTGTTTGGAGGCATAACTGTTACCTCCTTCATGAGGTACCTTAAAATGCAAAGTGTTTACTTCAGAGTGTTATATTAAATATGGTAGGGGCTGATTTTGGAGAACACAGATGGGGAAGAGTGTTTTTCTTTATAGGACTTCCCTTAATTTGCAAGCCATGCATTCTGTGCAGCGACAACAAACGTTCAATTCATGTTCGTCACATAGATAAGGCTGTTCCTACAAATATTCATCTGTTCACATGTCTTTACTTCCCAGGGGTTTCTCGAGGTGTGGGATTTATCCGTTTTGATAAGAGAATAGAGGCAGAAGAAGCCATAAAGGGACTAAATGGCCAGAAGCCTAGTGGTGCTACAGAACCAATTACTGTGAAGTTTGCCAATAACCCCAGCCAGAAAACAAGCCAGGCACTCCTTTCACAGCTGTATCAGTCTCCCAACAGACGCTACCCTGGACCACTTCACCACCAGGCTCAGAGATTCAGGTAATTACCTGGAAAAGAACTGAAGTTCCACCAGTGATAACAATGTGGGGCAGGTGCTACGCAGGAAAATACGCTTTAGTTGCATAGGCTGACCTGATTTTCTTTGTAAAATTAAATATTCTTTCCTGGAGAATGAGGAGGAAAATCTGCTGACAGCAGTAGTCATGTTGTATTTACTAAAACAGCTGAAGTACTGTACAACCAGATCTCATGAAGGCTCATAGAAAAAAGGGAGGGCAGAGTAAGAGTTACACTGATAATCAAATGAGCAGCGACTACCCTATTCTCTCTCCTTTTTTTTTTGGTAATGCTTTTATTTTCTGCTGTATTATTACAGTTTTGATGCAGCTTAGACTTTGATGTTAATGACAGTGGATTGGTAGCAGGAAAAAAGCTGAGTCTGTTCCAGTCAGCAGCAGTATCATTAAATTTATTAGCCTGAGATATCTGCTCTTAGTATAAAGAGACCTTGCATTAGTCTTTGGTGTGATTCTTCAGATGCTTTCGGGGATGTTTTATGCTTTGCATTCTGAATATACTGTTTCCTTCTGATACATAAGCCAGAGTTAGCAATACATGATGTCCTCATTACTTTTATATTTAGTAATTTTCAGGCAACCTAGCATTCAAATAAAAGGTCTGCCTTCTAAAAAGAAACTTGGACATACTCACATAACTGAGTTGCGTGCTGGCTTTAGAGAATCTTTCAAAAGTAAATTTAGGTTGTCAGTGATGAGAAGTGCTAATGAATTCAAGACCATTAAAAAAAAGTCATCGGACGCATTAAATTTACACTTGGTTTTGTGTCTTTGGCACGCAGCTGTGTCCATTGAGATTATCACTGAATCCTTCCATGGACAGAAGGTCTTCATTGTACTCTCACAGAAAGCAGATGATTGTATTCTGTATAAAATTTGGTGGTCATTTAGATTGACATATCATGGAGGATTGATACTAAATACATGTAATATAATGTGGAGAGTATTATGTTAAAGCAGTTAGAATCAGTAATTTTCCCAATTCCAGCAATTTTGGACTGTAGCATTTTATTTCCAAGTTAACTGTAAATATAAGGTGAACAGTTGAACTATTTGCACAAATTTCATACTAACACTGTCTAAAAAGGACAGATCAGAAGTGGATTTTTTTTAAATGCCAAACCCTGGAAATGAAGATTTTCACGAGAAGTCTAGACAAGTTAAAAATAAATGTTGTGGTGGAAATTTAAGCACAACCTCAGACTTAACAAAGCAGGCCGGGAGTTGTTAGGCTCCTTAGATGTGTGGGAAACTTGTTGAACGTTTCTTCTTTGAAAATGGAACGCTATTAATAATAGTTCCATTGAGCGATCTTGCCATCTGTGAGACATTAACCCAAAGACCCTCCTTCTCTTTTCAGGCTGGACAATTTGCTTAATATGGCCTATGGCGTAAAGAGGTAATTAGAATTCCACAGATTGCCAGATGTCCGTGTTGGCACAGATTGGTGCTACAATTTATTTTTTTTTAATTCACTAACTTTATTATTTTTTTTTTAATTCCTTCTTTTCTTCCACCAGCATGTCAAATTCTTTTTAAGTTTGGACTTCAGTTGGTTTTGTTACTTTTAAAGGCCACACATGCAAATTCTGTGGGGTTTTTTGTTTCACCTTTTGTTTTTATTTACAGGTGGGCTTCTCAAATGGTTTAGGTGCAGCAGCTACCAGCTTTCAAACTGCAGTCGCCCTGCTAATGGTGCTTTTTCCAGCACCATTTAGCACCAGAACTATTAAGTTTTTAACTAATCTCTGATTTGATAATAGAAATCTTAATAGTCTAAAACAGAATTGTGCTGCTGTTGGTTAAATCTCACAGTTAAGATCTTCTGTCTCCTACATCTGGCTTAAGATTGACTTGAAAATACAGCTGTCTGCACCTTAATCAGCCCTAAATTTCTTTTGTTACAGGTTTAATACTTTCAAATTTTCTCGGTGCTTGAGATTTCATTTTTGTTTAAAATAGCTCTGTGTGTCCGTATGTATGTGCACGCATGTGTGATAGACATTTATGCTGTTTCATGAGTATGTTCAGTGTTTGATAGCTAAAATGAGTTGACATGTTAGTGTTTCTTCTGATGGCACGCATCAACGCAAGCGAACCTTACAGCAAAATAACGGTATAGTCTTATTCCTGATGTTACCGTAAGATGTCCAGCCATGCCCCACAGTTAAGATGAGAAAATACTTCTTAATCTTCTGAAATGGTCTGCTCACAACACTTGAAAATTATTTGGGCTTGTTTTTTAAAGCTCATCCTGTAAAAGTGGCATGGTAAGTATATCTTTACACTACCGAGTAGTGGGCAGTAGCATGGGTTTTAACTACTGCCACGGTAGCTATTATGCGAACCTTAAGACTACTCACAAAAAGGAAGAGCCAGAACAGAGGCAGCATATCTTCCAGAAGCACTACTTCTGGTGTTCATTAGTACATTTATTACATCTGCAACATCCTTAGTGGTGATGGTGATGTGATGAGTCAGAACTTACCACCTGATATTATCGCACAGCGCTTTTCCTGTGTTCTTCCATCTCATTTGTTTCTTGATACATTGCCAAAAACATGGCAAAGCTCTCGGTGTCAAGTATCTGTCAGGGACAGGTCAGTGTCAGAAGGATGGGTTTGTTCCAGGAGTTTTCCTTTGGTTTTCTCTGCTATTGCTTCCCTGGAATTGCACTGGCATGGTGCAGGACAAACAGGACTTATTCTGAACTAGCAAGGGTATGAATTCAGATGTCATAAGACCAACCTGTATAAGTTATGCATCTGCTTTCTTAATATTCAGAGTCTGTAGTATTAGTCTTAAATCACAACAGTGTTTTATAGGCATCTTAAATTAGTTTGTATCTCCTCCCAGCAAATCTTGAAAACTTGCACTAGCAAACCCTGTATTTACAGACATAGGGACACAAAAAAACCCAGTGTATTGATAAAAACTTCTGAAACTGCCTCTGTAGTGTGGCATAAAACTGGGTTTTGGGGTCGGTTCTTTCTTTCCCTGTATCAAGTATGTGGTACTGATGGAAAAGGAGATGTGTTGACGTGCAGCAAAGGTTTTATTGACGCTAATTCCAGGTCACTTGCTAGTAGCAGAACTACTTACGCAATAGTTTATCTTGTATTTGTGTCAGTACACTTGCACTAGTTTTGTGCATGTTTTCTTGGATTTAAGGCAGCTTCTGTGCTCCTGGTACATAAACAGCTGAAAGCTGAAAGCTGCTTCCCTAAAGGTTTCCAGGGAAAAGCCACTCTCCACTGAATTGCATGAAACTTCAACCATTAACATCAGTGCAGCATTCCTGCAAAACTCCATAACACACCCTGTGACATGCACAGCTTTGGGTTGTCCAGGTTTTACAATAAACATCACTTTCAGGGTAGCATATACACTAGTGTTGTACTTCATGTTAAATTTTAACATGGCAAAAGAGAAGCATTTTGTGATTTATGTATGTTACTAGCACAGTTGGCACTTGTCAGCAGTGGGCTTAAAGTCCCATCTTCCAAATTCAAGAAGTTGAAGCTGTTGACTTACACAAGCTCTCAGTCTTGGCTGTCTTATATATGATTCCACATAAGGTGGAAGGAGCAGTATAAATCGGCCTTGTCCAGCTTCTTCCTTGGTTTTCAGCAGCTGGGGAAATACCGTGAGCTAGAGCTGTGCTGAACCATTATGATAATGTTACTGGTTTCAGTATGTGGGAGAGAAACTTAAAGATGTTGAGAGTAGGATTTACGAAAGTGAAGTTCAGTTGGAAAATCGCCACATACCTTTAATAAACTGTCTGCAAACCTGTACGTATGTCTGAGGATCCAGTGCTGTGAGCGTTTTTGAGCTGTTCATTTGTACCGTAGCTACACCCCAGTGACTTTTCTCAGCTTAAGATGTATATTCCAAATGCCTTTTTTCCTTGAATATGCATGTAAACTGCCATCAGGAATCGACAGAATGGTGGGCAGCCACCAGGTGTGTAGTTTCTTTTATGGTTATTTAATATACACAGCATAATATTGTGCAGACTGCTAAACGTGTGTGGAAATATTACAAGTGTAAAAGGAGAAGTTTTGGAGAGTGCAAGAGCTTACTCAGCAACGCTGAGCTCCCCCCTCCACTCCCTCAGTCATCACTCAGACTCCTGAGGAATTATTATTCAGTTCTGGTATTAAAACTCATCATATTGAAGGTACATGTGAAACTGGATTTTTTTTATTAAGACGTTTCCTCTGTGCAGTTGTTATTTTAAAACCTATCCCAAAGTGTAGCTTCAGAAAGCATGTCACTTTTTTTTTTAACTGATGAAAGGAAAATTATGTTGATCCTGAGGGCTGATACCGCTTAACATCTTCATTAATAACCTGAGTCACGGGCTGCAACGCGCCCTCCTTGCATTAGCGGGTGACACTAAATTGGTGAGGGAGCAGGGGCAGTCACTGTGCTCTTGGCCACGGGTGCCACTGGGGAGACCTTGACAAGCTGGAGGAACATGGTGAAATTCAGGAAAGGCAGAGTTGAGCCCGTAGCTGCTGTCCTCAGCTACTTACAAGGGGCAGTAGAAAGAAGATGAAGCTGAGCGCTTCTCAGAGCTCAACCACAAAAGGACAAGAGGTAATAGGAAGAGGGGAAATCCAACTGGGTATAAGGGAAAATAATTTACAGTGAGGATGGTGGAGCCCTGGAGCGAGGGCCACAGGAGTGGACTTCCCATCCTTGAAGACTTCCAAAACTCCCCTCCACAAGGCAATGAGCATCAGTTATCCTCGCTTCGTGCCAGAGGTTGACCAGATGACCTCACAGATCCTGCCTAGCCTGTGTTACTGTGTGATGGTTCTGTGTTCGTAAACATACTACCCCGCTTTAGCTTCCCAATTCAGATGTTCAAGCTAAAGGAAACTGGTCCCAAAAGACAACAAGGAGGGAAAAGTCAGGGCTGCTGTATTAGATTTCTAGGAGCTTGTCTCTACATTGACCACCTGAAGAACCTAAGAGCCTGTCATGGATACGAAGTCTCACAGTATGAAGGTATTAGTTGACATGCTCATCAATTATATTTATGCACTGTTTTACTTACCCTACAATTGCTGCATAAATCTCCTTGAATATATGGCCAGCTTTAAGACGTCTTTATTACCTGGGTTTCTTTTCCCAGTGTCTGTCAATTAAGGACTATGTTAGGAGGGGAATTAAAATCCACCAGTTACACATCTCTCAATCTGATACTTAGTATTTTTAGCTAAAGATGCCACTGTTACAGATGAATCCTGGCAATGGCATTTCATATTAATCTTTTAAAGTCTTAAATTTGTTAGGGTTGGTTTTTTTTTTCACTAACAACTAGTGAGAGGTAAAGTTTAGGATCTCCATTGCCCTGAAACTACATTATTTTAGTGGTGGGAATAAGTAGCAAATTCCAACAGGCTTCTTTAAATGAACTTGTGTTTATAGCAGCATTTGCAGGCCCTTTTGGGCTTAGATTGTCCTTAAGCATTTCTTTTATTAGATCTTAGTATATATCTAAGTAGGGCTTATCCTTGAAGGGAGACTCATCGATAACCAGATTTGGTCTGGTACAGCCCCCCTCCACTTAAGTAGAATTAGAGACCAAAGGTAGCAGTGTAGTCATCTTCCAGGGATAGGATCAAGAACCTTCCTTCATTACCATTGGCTTACTTACTTTAAAGTCTTGGTTCCATGTAGCTCGTGCCAAGAGATATATTTAGAATAGACCCGTCTTTTTACTTGGTAGGTTTTCTCCGATCACAATTGATGGTATGACGAGCCTTGTCGGAATGAATATCCCTGGTCACACTGGGACTGGATGGTGTATCTTCGTCTACAACTTGTCTCCCGACTCCGATGAGAGCGTGCTGTGGCAGTTGTTTGGTCCCTTTGGAGCAGTCAATAATGTCAAGGTGATCCGTGATTTCAACACCAACAAGTGCAAGGGATTTGGCTTTGTCACCATGACCAACTACGACGAAGCTGCCATGGCAATTGCCAGCCTTAATGGATACCGTTTAGGAGACAGAGTATTGCAAGTTTCCTTTAAAACCAATAAAACCCACAAATCCTGAATTTCATATCCTTACTTACTAAAATATATATA